CCCCCTTTGGCTTTTGTTATGTTTACAAACTGTTTATTCAGCTCATTGCAGCGGGTTCCCAGCTGTGCTATTCAGAGACAAGTGAGGTATTCTGGGTTAGTGCAGGAGGCAGTGGGAGACATGGGCCTTGGAGGAGAAAGCACGTGGGTCAGTCGGACCTGCCAGGAGAGCCTGTGCAGAGTACAGCTCATGTTCTGCTACTAACAGCTGCTTTTGGCTCACAGGTGGTCACACTGGAAGGAAGGCAAGTCTTCCGCAGTATACAGTTTTCGTGACGGTAGGGGACAAGTATTAAAGAAATGGAAGCCATGTTTTGGAGTTGAGCAATAGCATGTGGATCTGAACTTTGGAACAATGGTGTGACGGTGGGCCACAGAGGGGTGAAGCCTCTGCATGGCTCCCTTGTCTGTTTTCCTTCCCACTGTACCCCCATCTGTTAGCCACAGACCCTGATGTCCAGAGTCTTACAATACACCAATAAAATCCCCTGCCCTTCTTATACACCAAACAAGCACAGTGTCCTTTTCTAGGGACTGGTCTCTCCTGATAACATATCCACGGTGAGATAAAGTCTCGCTCTCCTCACTTCTAAGGAGCACTTGGCAACACTTTTTCCAAGACAGATTTGTTTGTGCTTCTTGCAGTCCACTGTAACCTTAATATTCTTTGCCAATTCCATAAATCAAATGTGCTAAATCCTCTTTAGTTTTCTTTATTCACTGTCCAACTTTCACAGGTCTATGGGGAAGTTGACAACACTGTGGCTTGGATCAGACGCACCTTAGCCTCAAAGCGACATTCTTGCTCTTCCACACTTTAAGGACGTCTTCTGCAGACCATTCTGTTTATGAGCCCTGGTGGCACTGTCGGTTCAGCATCAGAATGCGATCTTTAAAGTTGGTGGTTCAAACACACAGGATGCTCTGTGGAGAAAGAGAAGGCTGTCTGCTGCCTTAAGGATTTACAGCAGAAGCAGGAGAAGTAGATGAAGAGAGAAAAGAACTGGGAGGGGAGGAGGGTGGGGAAGGAGCACACAATGTATGTGGGAGGGGGAGGGAGCACTAGAACTGATGGTGATTACTCATTTAACAAGTGATTTAATCATGGTGGGGGGAGAGAAAGTAAGTGTTCTAAAATTGATTGTGGTAACGATTATACAACTTTCCTGGATATGACTGAACTATTGAATTGTGTGACATGTGGATTAAGTGACAACAAAGCTTTAATACAAAAAAGATTTACAGCCTTAGAAACCCTGTCTAGGGTTTCTATGAGTAGAACTTGATGGCAGTAAGGTGGGTGTCTTGCAAGCTGACCTAGCTGTCACCCCATGGCTGTGTTCCTTAGCCTTTAACTCCAATAGTTCAGTTCTAATATTCAAGTAGTTCCGGTAATTGTGTTTCTTATATTCTCTTCACTGTATAGAGGTTTCTATATGCAATATCATAAATTCATGTGTAGAAATATCCATAACCCTAACTATATATGTGTAGGTGGATGTACTCCTGGGTACGCATTTGACTTCCTGCGCTTATTTCAAGCTCTTGAAAATGGGAAGAGAGGTTTTCCTGTTTCCTCATGTCACTTCTATCTAATTAGTTAAAATATCAAGGGTATATGTAAATGACATCGAAGGACGATGCTAAAAAGATTATACATTTATATTCATCTGCAGTCTTACTTGTTTTATTTTGTCTTATTATTTTGGGGGGTTGTAGTTATTTCCTGTGAGATAAACTGGATTTTGTTACGTACTCTCCCCTCATCCTTTTGTCTCACGTTTTTCTGCTCATGTGCACTTAGATATTGGTTGTTAAATTCTTGTTCTACTAGCCATGTGGTTTCATGATCTTCAAACTCTTCACTGACTAGCAGATTCCTGCAATGACACACTTGGGTTTTGCCCTTCCTGAATCTCTGCATCTCTGCGTCCATCCTCTGGATTATGGATCATTCACGCCTTAGCTAGAAACAGCTTCAAATATCTGTTTGAAAACAGAACGCTTCTTAAATGCATCCTGTGTTCTTAGGAAGTTCTTTTCTCCCAAGCCTTCATTATTTATCTCTGAGACAATGAAGAACGGCGGGTGTGTTTACATTTAGTGGGACGGGTTTGAAAAAGCATCTTGCAAAAGAAGATGACTTGCCGTTCGTTGGAAGCTTGAAAGTAACTAGTTTCAAATGAATGGAGCTTCTATTTTCTTCATGGAAAATTGAAAGGATGCTTCACGCTGTGCTTATGTTAGATTTGGCACCACACTGAGAACGCGCGGCGCAAGGATGCTGAAGAAGACTGTTGTGAAATTAGATGAAAAACACTTGGTAAAGCGAATTTCAGTTAAGCGAGTGTTTTTATGATGTTTATAGATAGCTTTATATTTAGAATGAAAATATACAATCCAGAGCCTTTCCAGGAATAACAGACCAAAGAACATCACCACATAGCATGGAAGGCGAGAGCATGCCCTGAGGTGGAGTAACTGGCGGGAAGCAAGCGGAGGAGGAGCAGAAGTGTCTTTTTTCCTCTCGATGTTGCTGTTCTAACAAGAATGTGTAAACATGCCGCCTTTTCATTTCATTTCAAGGAGACTGCAAATTGAGGTCCCATTTTTTTTCCGGACCTCAACTAACTCCAAGTGAAAGAATTCGCCAAGTAAAAAGGCATGACTCATTTCTGCCGCTTAATCCAACTTCGTTCATCTTTTGGTTGGGAGCGATCGCAGACTCCACGCCACCGCGGCATCTGTCCAGATAACGGGCACACCCTTCTGTACACATCCTCCATCAAGCCCGTTGTCTTGGCCCCTGATTGGTCTGTTCCCACTGTCCCTAGCGTGTTCACCCCACATCTTGCAAGCTGCCCCAAGGGAAGTGTCCACGC